CAGTGCAAAGGGGTCGGGAGGGAAGAGAAAGTGTAGACCTCATCAAATACCCATGGAGTTGTTCCAGTTTCCTTGGAAGGTTAGCTCCTGTGTGGCCTCTTGTCCTTGCTTCTGGATGGACCATCTTTGGAGAGTAGTGCTTTAATCTGCTTCTACCTCCTGCATCTGTGGGCTTCACTGGTGAAGTCTCATAGCTGGTACCCCTTCAATCTGTCCTTGGGTTGTTGACATGACCTCACCCAGCATTACGGTGGGCACGTAGAGCCTGGGAATTTGCATTTCTCTTGAGTAGTCCCCATCCACACGCTGTCTGAGGCAGGGCTCCAAGGGCCCAGCTTCCTTGCTCGGAGACAGAACTCTAGGCCTTAGACCAAGGCTGAGAACTCACCTGTTTTCATTTACTCCCTTTCATCCCCTGGTCTCTCCTGAGAGGCCTTCATTCGTCAGTCATTTAAGGAGTCTTAGGCTCAACATTGCTTCTGAGAGAGCCCAGCCTGAGACCACCTTTTTCCTGAATCAATCTCTCTTATTTCATTTTTCAAGAATCTAGAATCAAATGTGGTTACTACTTTCTGGATGGTACATGAGGGAAACTTGAATTCCTCCCTCAGATTTTATGGAAATAGTACTGACAACGTTTATGTGTTTTATTGTTTAGAGTTGGAAGCGTATGTCCTGGAGTGGTTGATAAAGGACATTTCCAGCAGTGTAAACCCATGGCTCACTGGGGGAAAATTCTGAGACGTACACACACATTTGTTGAAGGCTTCCCATGTTCCAGTCTCTGGGCCATGTGCTTTACGTGTGTGGACGCATTTGGTTCTGACAATTAACTGATGAAGCTGGTAAAATTAATAATCCCATTGTAAATATGGGAAAACTGAGTCATGCAGTATTTTAGCAACTTGTGTAAGCATGCAGCTGATAAGTAACTCCATACACTTTAGAAACAAGAATTCCCCAAATTTCTGGGAGTTTCCAAATCTTATTTTGTAGCTTGGTAATAATTTGGGATCAACACTGAAGAGTAAAACCTCCACAATGACTGCCATTTAATGCACATGAGCCTCTCTGGTGGCATGAATGTGATCAGAGTTAGTGTTTTGTCCCCACTGGAGCAAAGAGAAGAGCAGCCCAAGAACAAAGCATCCCTGACATTGCAAGGAGGCCCAGGAAGACTTACAAAAGCGCCACTGGAACTAGACAACCTTTCAATCCATTTATCAAAGTGTCTGCACTTCCCATTTCAAGGTAGATGAAGCAATAATAAATTTGTGAAGAAAGTTAATCTGTGTCCAAAGCATTTTAGTAAATTAAAAAGGTGGGGGAAGGGAGGGCTTCCTGGAAGCGGGATGTATTGGTTCTTGCCAACTCCTATTTGACTTACTGTCTCCTTAATAAGTCCTCTTTGGTCTTGTGTTTTTGGATGGAATAATCAGTCAGTTAATCATTTTCCGGAAGCTAGAAAATGCACTTTAGCTAATGCAGTTCTTTCCTTTCAGAGCCCTAATTATTTAAAAAGGCATCTGGGTCCATGGTGCCACTTCCCAACCAAGAAAGCTTTCCCCGGCTGCCATCTTTCTTTATGTCCCCAGAAAAAACTAGCACACTTTGCCTCCCTCCCACCGCCCTACTCCAACCTTGTACCTTTCCAATGTAAAAAAAAGATTTTTTTTTTTTTTAAAGGATCCGCTCTGGTCACTTCCAAGCATTTCTGTGAGCTGCTTGTCTGGTGAAGGGTACTTCCCAACAATCAATTGGCCGGAAATAGGCTCTTAGGCATTATGGATAGATTTTGTTGTTTTTATTTGAGTGTCAGCCGAAAACGGTGTCTCTTGTGTCTCTTGTGTCTCTCAAGAATCATACTTAACAATAGCTCTAAGCTCTGGCATCATGCTGAGATAAACACACTATTAGGAACCCTCACAAAGGCCCTGCGATAATTGTGAAGGGATAGTTACCCGAAAATGAAGCACCCAGCCCTGAACCCTCCTCCACGCCCCATCAGTAACACCATTAAAGTTGTCAGTTTGTCAGCCCACTGGAGGTATTTATGAAATCAATATACAATCCCGCAGATGCATGGCAGCAGGATTGTTAGCTGGAGAAGGGAAGCTCAATGGAAAATAAAATTAATGAAATTTACAAGCAGATTGTCACGGAGAACAGATAAATTCCCTACTGTTTCCCTCAGTCAGGGCAGGGGAAAAGCAATATAAAGAGGAAGAAAGCAAACCATGCCTTAAACTGGGCTCAAGTCAGAGCAAGGCTGGGTATATTTGCAGAAAGAACACAGCGACCAGAAATCAAAGCAGCTGCCCCACCCAAGCGTGGGATTTTGCCTGAATGACATATAGGATACCTCCCGTGAATACCGCCATATTTTTCTGTTTAAATATGGCTCTCCTATCTTCATCCTGCCACATTGCAAACCAGAACTTTTGTAGAGCTGCTGCTCCTTCCGGGTGTGTTTCAGGGTGGGATGCCTTTTACTCGAACGGCTTAATGCATTACTGGGATACGTGCCCTTGTTCCAGCTTCCAGCCACGGTCAAGGCTGACAATTCTAAATGTTCTCCTGTTTGTTTCATGCCCCTGATTTCCCTCATCAGCCATTTGTCAGATGTGTGAGCGGAGCTCATCTCCTAGAACCACCAAAGATAACAGCCAAGCCCGGGAGGGTGGCAGGCAGGGGGTTAGTGGCCTGTAAACCAGCTTTTGCTTGCCAGAAAAGACGGGGCCCACTGTGGCTGCTGGAGGCTCTCGCGCAGCCCAGATGCCTGGTAGAAATTGCATTAGTCGGATGACAGGACCTGGGCCCCTTCTCCAGAAGCTGATGGAGAGCAGCCGAGTGGCCTGGGTGACACTGCCTGACCTCTGCTGTCATCATGGGCTTTGTTCAGTGCCCTGACTCCAGGCTGGAGCCCTGCTCATTGAATCAGGCCTGGTTGGGGGAGCCGGCAAGGGGGCTCATTGTGCATCTAAATTTACTTACATCAGTTGCAGACAGAGGAAACTGCATTTGGATGGGGGTACCTTGTTATGCAGCCCTGGAAACCTGTAGGACTCACAGCGCAATCAGACACCTGCAACCTGCCCCAGGTCTGAGTCTTGTTTTGGGGGGAGCAACAGACCTTCCCAATCTCTAGCATTCTGAGTTGTGGCCTGTTGCTTAGAGCACATTTAGCTTTCTCAGCAGGCAAGAGCAAGAAGTGGAAGCCTCTCTTCTACTTTCTGTTTTTCCTCCTCCCTCTTGCACACTGTTTAGACAGACAGCCCATGTTTTAGTTAGGGTGGTTGTCTGACCTCTCCTTTTAAACATACAGGGAGCCATCCATAGCTTTTGACTGGGAGCCCTTAAAAAATCAGTATGTGAGCATCTGTCTGAACAATCTGTCTATAGGTCAGTTCAACAAGGATGTGTGTATCCTGCATGCCAAAGCGGGACAAGTGTCCCTGAGTGTATGGGCAGAGAAATTTATCCCAGTGTTTCTTTAAATGGCAAGTAAATCAAATCAATGCCAGCCCAACAATTTGGGATCATATAGCCATCCATACAATTGGATGTTATATAACCTTTAAAAATGTTGGCATCTGTGTATGGGGTGAAGGTGGGAGTTCATAACCCACTTGAATCAAAGTGTGGAATATGATATGTCAAGAAATTTGTAATGTTTTGAACAACCCACAATAAAAAATTTAAAAAAAATAAAAAAATAAAAATGTTGGCATTGATGTACTGGGACAGATGTTCTCAATATAGTAAGTAAAAAATAGTTTATAATAGACTGTATATTATGAGGGGAAATTCATACATATTACTCCTAATTGGTAGCAGTGGTTATGTCTGAGTGGTTAATTTTTTTGGCCTTAATATTTGAGGGTTTTTCTGTGTGTTCTTTTCAAACTATGTATATATATATGTATATATATGTAGACACATACACACACACACACCTTTTATGTCTGAAGAACACACATAGAGCTGATTGTGTCCTTAGTGCCGTCTCTGCGCACGCGTCCTTCCATACCATCCTCTTTGGAGATGTTCCTGCGGCCGTGATGGTGCAGAACTAGCCTTGCTTGTCGCGCAGAGTGTTCTGCAGAGTGGCTCGTGTGCCCTGGAGGCCTGACGGGTCTTTACAGATTGATCACTTGCTGAGATCCAAGTGGGCTTGAAGTCCAAATGAAAACAAGTACACGTGCTTGGTCGAGCAAGAAAAATAAAACAAGAAAGCAAAACCAAACAGCCCTCATCATCTGTTGTTTGGAAAGGAAACTCAGGCTTCAGGGCTGCTTAAACCCCCAGAAAAGACTTGGCTTTGAGCCAGCTGCAGGACCCTCATCCTATCCCTTGCCTTCCTCAAAGCAGCATGTCGGTGCTGCTTAATGCTAGACAAGGTGCTGGGGAACCCCTATTTTGTAACAGTTTGTAGAAATGCAATTTAAACTCATCACACTTGTCACTAAGAGCCAGGAGGCCTCCGGGGGTCTATGGGACTCTAGAATATGCTGAAGTGGTCATTCCCATCAGAAAATCAGATGGCCAGACTCTGTTCCCATCCCAGATGACAAAAGCAGAGAGCCTGGACGTCAAAGGACAGCCTGAGACAGGAGATTGAGTGGTGCTGACCTCGCAGTGGGGGAGGGATGCTTTGGGGAAAGGGGGGCACAGGGGTCTTCTCTGGGAGGTGGCAAAACAGAGAATTGGGTGAGGAGCGGCAACAAATAGCCCAGAATCTTGGCTCGTGGCCTGGAGGTGTGAGACCACCCACAGCGCCCGCCCTGGAGGCAGCTGCTGGCCTGGTAACCATTTCAGCAAAGGCCATGCTAGCACAACAATGTGAACGCTTGTAGGGCCTGGGTCTGAGACTAAACAGTCCCCAAACACCTCTGACCCACCGGGAGGCAGCCTCTGGGAGTTTTTGTTATTGTAATGTAATGAGATGCAGAGAAAGCAGCCTGGCTCTTTAACTGGTCTCCTCTTCTCCTCTTGTTTAGAGATCTGAGTGAAAACCAGATCCAGGGGATCCCGCGGAAGGCGTTCCGGGGCATCGCTGACGTGAAGAATCTGTAAGTGCTATTTTTGTTGCTTTGCTGCAGATTTGGTTCACGTGGGCTCCCTGGCCAGGATGAGGGAGAGAGAAGGGACAGGAGGGTGGTTTGGACATCTTCAGAGATTGAGGGCCATGTGCAAGTGTTTTCCACAACAGCTTCACAAAGCCCTGCGCTTCCTGGCCATTCCACAAGCATTGGAATCCCACACCTGGGTCAGAGCCTCACATCACACAAGCTGAATGGCCTTGGTGCAAGTCATTATCAACTTTTGTAAAATAGGGACCATAGTGTGGATGTTGTATGCACTAAGAAAATGTTTTTTAAAAAAAGGAAATGATTAATTCTTAGTAAGTATTGAGTAAACTGGAGCTTTGATGATGATGATGATGATGATGATGATGAAGATCTCTTATAATTAGTCCCAAGAGAGACCCCTGGGACTTACATCCCAGGACCTTGGGGAAATGTAGCCAAATCCATTTCCTTTATGCTAGATTTTTGCTTGCTTTTTACTTTTTATTTTAAAATCATCATTGATTGACAGGATGTTTTTTTTTAAAAAAGAAATAGGGCCCAGATCCATGTGCCAATTCCCCAGTGGTGACACCTTACAAACCAGGAGCCAACAGCAACACCAGGAAATTGGTGTTGGTGCCATCCACAGACTCACCTTCAGTCTTCCCAGTTACCCACACTTAAGCTCACGCGTGCACTTGTTTGTGTGCACATGGATGACTTAAGTGTGGGTAGCTGTGTGCGGTTTGATCACAGGTAGAGTTGTCCTGCCATCACCAAGGTCAAGAGCAGGACTGTTCCATCTCTGAACTCACCAAATAATCCTGATCCTTTCCTACCTGACCCCAGGTTTTGCTCTTATCAATGACTCCTGGGCCCTTACTTCACATGGTGTGTGCCTTCTGAACTCTACATACAACTATGCACAAGGGCTGGGGACATGTTTTTGGAAAGGGCCACAGAAAACAGTCTGGTTTGACTGAGAAAGCCAGTCTGCCCTCCAGCCTCAAATTCAATTTGAGAAGTATTGAAGGAGACTAGGAAGGAAGGAAGGAAGGAAGGAAGGAGAAAGGGAAGGGAAGGGAGAAAAGAGACAGAGAGAAAGAGAGAGAGAGAGAGAGAGAGAGAGAGAACCTACTTTAACTGTCACTTTTCCCTATAACAAATGGAGGGGCTTGAGTTTCCTGGCACACCCTAGGGAAGTTGATGATGGCTTCCAGATGCATGTTATCTGCGTCCTCCGTGGCTGGGCCTCAGCGGAAAGCTTTTGGTGCAAAGAACACAGAGGGCAGAGGCATCTGTGGGAGTGGAGGGACAGGGAGACAGAGAGGACTTCGAAGGGGGCTCTGGGTCAGAGGCTGCCTGCTGCGTCCACTAGGAGTGTTTGCTGAAGAGCAGGAGAGGGTGGGACAGGCACAGCCACACAGCCATGAGCCCTTTTGCAGGACAGATGTAGCCTCACTTAAGAAATAACTTCTGGGCTACAGTGTGGCTCAGTGGTAGAGTGCTTGTCTATCGTGCTTAAGGCCCCGGATTTAATCCTGGGTGCTGCAAAAAAAGGGCTGGGGGTCAGGGAGGGTGGAGGAAGGAAGGAACTTCTTAACTTTCTTCCACCTCCTCTTGAAAAGAAGACACAAACCAAACCTAATAAATACATAATGATGGACACTTTCTCAGCCAGAGGTGGCACTTTTAACATTTCAAAGCATTTTTTCCAACATTTCATTCCTTAGATTTTAGGAACTTAAGAGTGAACAAATGAATCAAAACCAATATATTGTGTTAATCAGCATCCCAGAACTTCAGGGCAAGAGAAAATAGAAGCCCAGAGAGGGGCAGTGACTATCTCAAGGTCAACTGTCACCTGGCTTCCTAATGATTGAGCCCCAAATGAATGTATTATATATATATATAAAGATCCAAGTCTGGAGGATGGAGCCCTAGGCAAACGCTCAACCATTGAGCTACACCACCAGTCCATGGCACTGATATTAAATGGATCATTTATAAACCTGACATAACATAATGATGTAGAAGCGTGGCCATATAGTTACGAATTACATTTTTGATTCTCAAGAAAGTGATTAAATCCCACGGTGATTATTAATTGTTGTTCGTGTTTCTTGGGCTTTGTGTTTTTGTTATTGAGAGTTTACAAGAGTTGTTTTAACTTTATAATGTCTTTAACCATGCAAAGGCCTTAGAGGTGAAAGGTTCGAAATGCCTTAAGTTACCCCAGCATGTGGAGTCAGGCCCACCTTCTAGAAAGAAGTGTACGCAAATACAGTTTGAGTAGCCCTTTTCCTAAATGCCTGGACCAGAAGTGTGGAATATTTGCATATACAGGAGATATTGTAGGGATGGAACCCAAGTTCTAACACAATCCATTTTTGCTTCATATCCACTTTATGCACTTAGCCTGAAGCTGTTTTTATACCATGTTTTTAATAATTCTGTGCATGAAACAGTTTCCCCGTGTGGACTTTTCCATTTGTGGTGTCCTCTCCGTGCTCAAAAGGTTGGGTTTTTGACTTAGGACTGTTCAGCCTTTATTTATCTCTGAAGAGCCTGAGCTCAGCAGGAGTCGGCTTCTGTTTTGTTCATACCCAGAACCAGCACGTGGTCCTGGGGGAAGAAGGAGTGTAGTAAACCAGCTGCTCAGAGGAAGAATCAACTTGCCAAACTAAGGGCTGTTGAACGCTTTGTGCTCCTAAGCAGTCGGCGACGCACTTGTGGGGCAGAACCCCTGAGACCCCAGAAGCATAATTCTTGTTCTCCGGGGACAAATAGAATAACCGGAGACAAGAAATATGTCCACCCAAGAGAAAGTTCAGTAAAATACCAGTCAACATGAAAATGCAAATGAGTGCCTGTGTACAGCCAGAGGCTGTCAGAGAAGAAAAATAGCTTTTGGCAATGTGGCTACGAGGTAGGGAATGGTTTGGGCTTCTGTATGAATTATACCTGATCTAGGTGCTAAGTCTGTGACCTTTGGCACATGACACTTCTAGCCTAGGTTTCAACCATTGTAACATAAGGACAAGAATTGGACCTACTTCCCAGGATTTTTGTTAAGGTTAATGAAATAATGCGTATGGAACAACTCATGAAGGTATTTAGAAAGTTCTTGCTGCTGTTGCTGCTGTATTCCTTTGTTCCTAATGGTGAAGATTTTAGCTGGTCCTGAACAATATTAGAATTCTTAATAAATGAGGCAGATGATGCACGCAGGCCTCCAGAGGTGTGTGTATCAGGGGGCACACAGTGGCATCTCCTGGCTTTGGGGGGATGATGAGGCAGAACAGTAGGTGACGAGGTTAGAGGGGTGGTGGCCAGACAGTGGCACCTTGCCTGCAAGGAGGCGCAGGCACCAAAAAAATGGCCGGCTTCTGACCCAGAATAGGTCAAGGCAAAAACCATTCTGAAAGAGGAACCAAGGATAGGAGGCGGTGGCGAAGGAAGGGCTGGGGCAGGAGATGAGGCTATGGCGAGCTGGGGAAAGAGCAGTCAGAAGTCAAGAAAGGAAGAGTCCAAAGCAAGCCACCCGTGGGGACCAAGCCAGCAGAACTTGGTGACAAAGGGTTTCTAGAGGCAGGAGCAAAAGAAGTGTCAAATTAGAGTTCCAGGCTCCGAGAGTCAGGGCACGGTGGCAAGTCTCAGAGACATTCATCCACACACCCATCAAAATATCGTTTGAGTACCTGCTGAATGCCATTTCTGGGGAAAATGGAAGATAATGATCTATGCAGATGTGTGAGCCCTGTCTTCTTGGAGCTGCCTTCCTCAGAGGCTGAAAGGCTTGGGGAGAGCCAGGCTTGAAGGATCAGGAGTTGGATTGTAATAGTGCTGAATATGAGTGATGTCCAGTCTCAGGGGCAGTGCAGACAGAGCCCCTTCTGTGTTTTAGGACACTGGTGGATCTGCCCATCCTCTCTTATTTCTTCTAGTTGCAGGAACATGCTATAACCCCCTACGTCTCTGGACCCCAGCTTTCCTGGTTTTATTAAACATGAGGGAGTTAGACTAAATAGCCCTATTGCCCTAAGAGAAAATGTCATGTGGGTAATCGGAGATGTAGGATAGGAGCTGAGAGTACATTTGTGGAGGGTTAGCACCCAGTGGAAGTGATAATGAATTGTAGATTTAAATGCACCTGGGGGCTGGGGGCAGAGCTCAGTGGTAGAGAGTTGTGATTAGCATGTGCAAGGTCCTGGATTCAGTTCCCAGCACCACACTCGCACAAAACAGGAGATGCTTTGTAGAAATTAAGTTAGTATAAAACCTGTTAAAGAAATATGTGTCCATCACCCATGTGGAGGGTGTCTACCTTTCGAGTAATCAATAGCAAGCTTTAAATCTCAGGGGTGCACATCCTTGCCTTCATCTGAAAACCAAGCCCCCAGCCTTTCCCATCACATTGTGTGAGCTCAGGGGATATAACTCAGCTCAGAGTTGCCTTCCCTGACCCTCTAAGGCAGCCCCCACTTCCACTGCCTTCCTTCCCTACCCCATGACCCAGTGATATTTCTTTACCTGTTACCTTAAGTAAAATAGGAGCGGAAGATACATTTTTGGAGTACATTATCAGGCTTCAAACTAAATAATATGTGAAATGACAGCTGATTAGGCCTATTCATGACACCATATGCTTTATGATGAGGAGAAAATCAAGGATTGTCTATTTTTGAAAAATAATTCAAAATGTAGTGTTGACATGAATTGTCTTTGCTTGCTCTGACATTTCCCTTTAAGAAGAAAGGAACTGCAATACCCCCATTTTCCAGATGGTAAAATTAAGTGTCCTGGGCTTTCCACCCAGCCAGCCATTGGTGACACACCCAGCATCTTGTGGACTCTAGCCAGATACTTCCGTCTGCTCAGATTCCCCCCCACGCCAGCCAGGGGGAAATGCTGCTGGAGGCTGGAGCCCCACTCACCTGAGCAAGCAGCCAAGTGTCTGACTTATCAAATCCAGGAGAAGGGATGCAGGATGTCTGACA